TCGTTTTATTGTATTATGAGTAGCGCACAAACCGATCGAATGTGTTTCGTAGAGTGTAGCAAGACCAATGAAGGAACTGAAGAGGATGAATAAAACGTCATTCTTCCCACAAATAAGGGCAGCTTAACTGTCGTTGTAAACACAGAAACATAAATTTATAAACCTTAGACGTTAATTAATGCTGGATAATTTTGCAGACGAGCAAAGAAGACAACAGAAGTCGTCCGTTGAATAAATTACCTAAAGAACTCAAACACAGATACGTGACCACGGAAATGTATGGGTATTCTACGAGAAGATGTTACCCACCCACACAAATTAAAGAGACCACACAGGTTGTATATCCCAGCCAGTTCGAATAAGTCAGCACAATATGGAACATATTCACGGCTGCTAATCAATGGCTCGACATACACAATTCTCAGCGCCAGTAGAACATGCTTCGTACGTTTACCTGCCTTTATACACGGTTCGATGGCTTCGGAGGAAAGTCGATTAGAACACCGAGTTTCTTTCGCTCCTCAACATCTAAAACAGTCAAGGACAGATCGAAAAAAATGTCTATATGTAGAACTGATCACAAAACAGATTTTAATGCGCGTTAATATTTATGCTTATGATATTTTGAATCCGAAATAAAGATTATCTCGAAGTTTTTCTGAATAATCTAATAATAAAGAGAAGTCAAAAAATTTATTATATGTTTACATTAAAAATCGGATCCGGGATTAATCCCAATTGTATTTAAGGGAATCCAATCAATCATTTTTGTGTCTTCTAATTCGAAGTTTCCCGAAACAGGAATGTTTTTTGGGTTTCTCGTTGTTTTTTACTGTTGCCTTGTCCGACGGTTTTACGGTCTTTGGTCCGTTGTTTGATGTCGTTGAATCCGGTTCAGATGAAGATTCTTCCTCAGAACTGCTATCCTCCTCGGAAGTCGTACTCTCAGATTCCTTACTGGAAGTGCTTTCACTTTCCGACTCCTCCGTCGGTTCGCTTCCCGAACTTGGCTTACGTTTACCCTTCGTTCTAATAAATGACTACTGAAACAATTGTAGCTTGAACTACCTGCGTTTAAAAAGACCCATAGGCGTTCAGATGGAAATAAATTATCCAGAGATTTAGGAGCCTAGAGAAATAAATATTTAATGTCTTAAAATGACATAAATACAGAGAATTAGGGTTGCTTGCGGAGTCACCTGCTATCAAAGGAACGAAATCTCAATTACTCATTTAACCAACATTTCATATGAGATCTCGATGTGTCATTTAACCTTGTCTTAGCGCAGTTAAAGTAACGCTTGTATTCAACTAAACATTGCAAGAAACATTGTTATTATAGTCAATGCTTACGTTTTATCAGATAATTTCATATACCC